GGGCCGACTCGACGGCAAACAACAACAACAACAACGGCAGGCACTGTTATAAACACCATTTTACAGATGGGGAAACAAAGGTATGAAGAGCTTACCTAACTTGCCCAAGGTGGTCACTGTGTGTGTGGGGTGGAGCTGGGTTTGAGTGTGGATGTAGAGTCTGGTTCGGAAGCTCTGGGCTATGTAAGTACCCAGCATAGCGCCTGACTGAGACTGGGAATTCCAAAAAGAGAGGTGACAAAATGAAAGCACATTGGATGGGCCTTTTTAAAACTCCTGTGCCATTTCAAGCCTGGGCCAATTCATATACCATGGTGGCCTTGAGCTGTGGCTGGAGTTAACCCAGGTCAGCTTCTCCTCCCCAACCACCTCAGCTCCACCCCACCTCCCCTGCCCTGGCCCCAGCTTTGTAGCTGCTCCTCATCACACCCCAGGAAGGAACCACGTTCTGCAGGCCTTGAACAGCAGACTTTGTCCCACATTGAATTGTCAGCTTTTAAGAAGGCTTTTCATTGAGCTACAGGGGATTCAGACCTCTGTGACAGGCGGGAGAGGCAGGGCATTAGAAGGCAGCCCTGCTCTCAGAAACCAGGAGGCACGCAGAGGCCACCCAGACAAAAAGCTGCTGTGGCGGAAGGTTCTGGAGTCGAATGGGCCTGTGTTCAACATTCTGTCACTTGGGAGTTAGTGAACCTCAGTTTCTGTCCCTCAGTTTTCTCGTCTGTATGATAGGGAGCATACTAGCAGCTCCCTCAGTGTGCCCAGCATGGCCTGGCTCGTGGTAAAACCCACTCTCACATGATACATATTGGCTCTCAGGGCAGGCAGGTCCCCATATCATAACATGGCATTATTGTGACTAGGACCTGGAGATCTGCTCCCAGAAATGAACTCATGGAGCAAGGCAGGTTTTTCTGATTTTCTGAGAGATAATATTCCTAGGTTTTTAATTCCTAGAAGTGAAATTCCTCCGTACAAAAAATGCAAGTTCCTGTGTTTTGTAGAACTTCCTGTAGTGTTCCTTGTATCACAGTTCTCAGCATGACATATTATACTTTCCTTTTCTGTTTTCGTACTTGGACTTACATCCAGGGATTTGACCCTGTTCTTCCTGGTTCAGTCACGGACGATGAAGCAAAACAGGAATGGACCCAAACTTATAAAATGTGGGTGAAGAAGAAAGAACCATAGTGGGAAAAATACTGTTTGATGCTTTGCTAGAAACTTATTCTCCCTCTTAGAAAACAAAGGCAGCACACGGGGTGCGTACAACAAAATTGCAGATGTCCCCATGCCAAGATGGGTGACCACACCACAGTCCTGACAGTAATCCAATCTCTTTGTATCAGGCTCCTGAAAGGGCTCACTAGGACTTCGAGTCTCCCATTCCAGGGCTTAGACCTGTAATTTTTCCTGGTTATCATTCCTCTTCACCCAAATCTGGCCATGACTGAACCAGTTCAGTTCAAAACTGGTCCAAAACCTTGCTTATATCTCACTTAGAAATTTCATATCTTGGATCGTTAAGGACACTGAACTCTTTTTTTAAATAATCATTTCCGCCACTTGTACTTCATGTTCTGTGAGTTGTTTCCACTCCTTTTGGACTGCATTGTCTAG